CATATGCTATCAAGATCAGAGGGGCGCTTAACTTTAGGCTTCTGAGGTTGACCAGACAACCTCTTCTGCCTATAGTTAATCTTCTCTTGATATCTGCCTTTCTGATAGCAGTTTCTGATACCATTGTCATGAGATTGTCTGATTGGATTAGGCCTTTGATTATTATTTTCTGAAAACTCTTCCTTTTGTTTGAGTTTCTGCCAGGTTCATTAGTTTTCAGACTGTGTTTTGGTTTGGCCTTTAGAGTTTGTTTCTCTGGTATGACCTTCTCATGAACAACTTTAGTACCAGAAGTACTAGCATGGCAAATGGGGCTCAGAGTCTGTGGCACTATGACCTTTTTAGCCTTAGCAACTTTGGTGCTAGGCCTTACAGAAGGCTCACCAGACTCTGGTTCAACATATCCAAGACCAGAGGTGAAGTTATGAGAGTCACCAATATTCTTCATGGAAGATTGCATCTTCAGAAGACTATTATATTTACTCTCAAGTTCTTCAATGTCTCTTATTCTTTTAAGAAGAGACTCATTTTCAGCCTTCAGTCTATCTCTTTCCTCAGTTAAGAGATTAAGTTTGCACTCAGTCTCCCTTCTAAGATCAGAGATGTCAACTTTCAGCCTACTGTTCTCATCTTTAACAAAAGAATAAGTGGCTTGGATAGTTTGGAACTCTTCCCAAAATGATGACATTGGATCATCATTTAAGGCTGTGCCTACCGAGGAAGAAATAGAGTCAGAAGTGGAGCATACCTCATCATCTGATTGTGCCATGAGGCAAAGGTCTTCAGTTTCTGCATCCAAGCAGCAGAATGCTTCATCAGAGTCGGAGTCTGAGCTGGACTCTGATTCAGAGAGTGGATCTCTCTCAGCTTGTTCTGAGACGAATGCTCTTCTTCTTCTGTGTTGATCTTCTGGTTTCTTTTCTTCTTCATGTCCTTGCTTCTTGGACACTCTTGGATAGGGGCAATTTGCTTTGAAGTGCCCAGGTTGTCTGCAGTTGTAGCAGAGGTACTCTCCATTGCTTTCAGAAGATTTGGTCTTCTGATGTGGTCTTCTGATGGAAGATGGACTCCTTCCATCTTTCTTCATGAATTTTCTGAATTTTCTGGCAAAGGCAGCCATATATTCATCAGATAGAAGAGTTGAGGGATCAAAGTTTGTAGCCTTAGAAGTGCTGGCAGTAAGAGCAGTTGTGGTTCTCTCATCTGGCACTTCTTCTTTCTCATCATGCATCTCAAACTCATAAGCTTTGAGATCAGATATCAGTTTCTCTGTGGGATAGGTTTTGATGTCCTTGCTTTCTTGGACAGCAATAACCTTCATCTTCCAGACTGGGGGCAGTCCTCTGAGAATCTTCAGGTTGACTTCTTTAACTGTGAGCTCCTTCCCAAGCTCGGATATCTCACTGGTAAGAATCAGAAGTCTGGCATGCATCTCAGCTATGCATTCCTCAGGTAGAAGTTTGAAGTCATCAAACTTCTTCATAGCTATTGTCAGTTTGTTGTCTCTCTCTTGTTCATCACCTGCTCCTATGAGATCAAGTTTGTCCCATATTTCTTTGGCAGTTCGACACTTCTTGATTCTGTTGAAGTATCTGTTGTCAATGGCTTTGTAGAGGATATCTTTGGCAATATTGTCAAGATTGTACTGTCTCCTCTCTTCCTTTGTCCATTCTGATCTGGCTTTCTCAATCATCTCAGGCTGAGTCCTGTCAATAGTATGCTCAGTATTTACCTTCATAAATTTGGTGAAAGGTCCTTCTTCAAGGACTTCCCACATCTCATCATGAAGAGCGCAGAGGTGTGCTTTCATTCTGATCTTCCAGTCATCATACTTCTGATCTGAAAACATGAGGTGCTTTGCAAGAGAGTTATCCATAATAGTAAGTAAATAGATGCTAAGAACAAGTGGATCTTTTGTTCAGAGAGTAACCTAAAAGATTACAAGAACAAGGAGGCTCTGATACCACTTGTTGGTCCCGTTTAATATGGTAACCAGTCTAGAGGGGGGGGGGTGAATAGACTGGTTGGTTTTTCAAATTTTCTCTAAGTCCAAAGTGACTTATCAGAGAAGGTCTGATTCTGATGACAGAGAAAGGCTGGTTCTGATATCAGAACTGGCCTTGGCAGCAGATTCTGATCTGTCCGGGTAGCCTCAGAAATACTAAGGCAAATGCCTTTCTGATAACTCTGAAAACAAGATCTGCTGAACACAGATTCCAAGTCTTAGAGTTACCAGTTAATATCCTAAGTGCAGAAATGTAAATTGCAGTAAAGTAAATGACACTGGATATTTTTATAGTGGTTCAAGGAACAACGCGTTCCTCTAGTCCACTGTTCCACTAGCTTTGAAGTAGATCGGTTACAAAGCTAAATCCTAGTACTTAAGAAGCACTCCTCGTCTTCTTCAAGTCTAGATGCCACCCAGGATGCAATTCCACGTCCTGATGGCTGGTCCTTTCACTCAGCTTCCCGGAAGTATCACCACTTCACTACTGCAGTTACTTGGACGCCCTTCTTTTCAGAAGATCCTTTGAAAAACAGAGTTTTTCCTCCAACTTGCTTCGTCACAAATGATGTTTGATGAAGTTCTTGAAGAGTTGAAGAACAGGATGAACTTTGCTCGTTGTTGGGGATGAAAGATTTGGAGTTTGAATCTTCCCAACGTTGACTTTTCTTGTAGAGTGTTATGAAGGTTGAATCTCAAGAAGTATGTTCGGAAATGGATCAAGAGTTCTTGGCAAAGTCTTTTTTCTGTTCTTCGGAGTGTAGCTTATATACTGAGGTTGTCTGCCCGTTGGAGGAGGAGACAACTGCATTAAATGCGCGTACTGTTGACTTGACCGCCGTTTTGGAAGGTTTCTATTTTTATAATATATCTTCCCGGATTCCTTGGTCAATCATTTGCAATCAATCCTTCAGCGTATCAGGCTCATTTAATGTGCATTAAATGCTTTCCTTTCATGCACAGTCTCCTAGCCGTTGGATGTTTTACCCGTTGGATTCATAGCTGTTGGATGTTGCTTGAAATCTTCTAAGTGTTAGTCGGGCTCTGATCAGGCTCTTCTGATGTGTTGGATTCTGATTGCCTTCTGATGAGTTGAGTTCTGATGGCTTTCTGATCTCGGATAGAGCTCTAACTCTGACTCTGATATGTCCGCTGATGAGTACCTTTGATTTGTAGTTCTCATCGGTTATCAGATGTCCAAGTTTATCAGCAACTCTCATGGTGCAACTCTGATGGACTTCTGCTAAGAGAACTTTGATGGGGCAGTTCTCATAGAGCAAGTCTGGTCGAGCAGTTCTGATGCACTTCTGATCTGATCCAAAATAGAGCAACTCTGATCGTCGACTACACTAATACTTACAATTGAAAAGTCTAATACATAAAATCTAATTTGGGGGTAATCTAACTTTCTAATCTTATAGCATCATCAAAATCTAATTACATTTATTCCTTACATATAGTGATTACGAGAAATGATATAACTGAGATCACAAAAGTAAAGAATTACTTAAATGCTCAGTTTCATATCAAGGATCTTGGAAATCTAAAATACTTTATTGGTTTAGAAGTTGCAAGATCTAAGAAAGGCTTACTGATTAATCAAAGAAAGTACTGTTTGGAACGTATAGATGAGTTTGGACTTACATGTTGTAAAACTGTATCTACCCCACTTGATCCATCACAAAAACTTACTCCTGATTCAGGTATACCACTGCAGAATCCTACATCTTATCGTAGACTCATTGGGAGACTCATTTATCTCACAAATACTAGGCCAGACATATCATTTGTAATCCAACATGTAAGCCAATTTGTTTCTAATCCAAGAGATATTCATCTTAATGCTGCTCTACGTGTTCTCAAGTATTTAAAAACATCTCCTTGGCTTGACCTTTTCTATCCATCCTCAAATACTTCTAACATCCAAGCCTTTTCAGATTCAGATTGGGCCACATGCCCTACCACAAGAAAATCCATCACTGGATTCTGTGTTTTCCTTGAAACTTTTCTTATTTCATGGAAATCAAAGAAAAAGACCACAATTTTTAGATCATCCTCAGAAGCAGAGTACAAATCATTGGCTTCCTTAAGTTGTGAGCTACAATGGCTCCAATTCATACTTAAAGACATGGGTATCACAAACAATCTTCCATTCTGTGTATATAGTGACAGTCAATCTGCTATCCAGCTAGCTAAAAATCCATCCTTTCATGAAAGAACAAAACATGTAGAAGTTGATTGTCACTTCATACGCATCAAGGTTGATGAAGGCTTAACCAAACTATTCTTTGTTTCGTCGGAAAATCAAGTGACAGATCCTTTCACAAAGGCTTTATATCCATCTATTTTTCAGAAGAACATCTCCAAGCTTGGTCTTCATTCCATATACGATCCAGCTTGAGGGAGGGTATTAACACATGCATACTTCATGCAGACCCGCAGACCCATATATGCTACGTGAGGAAGCGGATAGAATAGTTCTACCTTGTCAACAAGTTGTTAGAATATAGTTAGATTAACATAGATATTTTTAACTTTCCCAATATAAATACTCTTGTAACTAGCTAATTAAACTCAATATACGAATTCATCTTCTTCCTTTCTATTTTCTCTTTCGTTTATCCTGCTATCAGGAAATCAGTTTTCTTCAAAACGCTGGTCAAATTGTCAATTTGATCAACGTGTACGGCATGTAAAAATATAACTGTTAAAATATACTCCCTCCGTCCCGCTATTAACTTCCTGCTTTCCTTTTTGGGACGTCCCAAAATCATCTTCTCATTTCCCTAAATGGAAAGGTTTCCTACATCAAAACAGTGTCAAACAGTGCAAAACAGTGCCAAACAGTGTCTAAAAAGTGAAGTCAAATTTAATTCCAAAAAATATGTGAGGGTCAAAGTAAGAAGTTAAAAACGGGACGGAGGGAGTATGTTTTAACATATAAAAATCATAAAATCAAATTGACCTGGATTACAAAGCAGCGCAGTTACATGTATTTTTATGATCATATAACATGTATTTTTACATGTTATATTTTAACTGATCAGTTTTCCACCCGGTAGGGGCTATCGGTGAGGGGCTACCGGCGGCGGGCCGCTGTCCTTCCGACCCGGGAATCGGTGAGAACTCACACGAGAGCAGCTAGCTAATATGAAAGCTTTCGTCCATTCTCGCTCTCACTTATACACTGCCCTGCAATTAATTTCATCATTGCCCAAATCTCCATATATAAACCCTAATAATGTTCTGTTTACCACACTCGCCTCACCATGCATCTCTTCCTCTGAAACAGAAATTCCCGATTTATCCACAGAGAAAGACTCCCCTGCAATATTGAGGCAATGGGGCTGCTCCGAAGCTGAAATTTCCCAGATTCTCCAACGCCTACCGTCGTTGAGGAATATGAAGCCGACCAACCTCCAGTCAAAGCTCAGGGTTCTTTGCGACCTCGGCCTTACTTCCTCGGACCTCGTAAAGATCGTTGACTGCCGCCCGCGGTTCCTGAACTATAGGATTGACCGGTTCCTCGATGAACGTCTCCAGTACCTCCACTCCCTGTTCCAGTCTGAACAAGTGCTTCGTAAAGCCATTGTGAGAAACCCTTCTTTGCTCATATACGACATCCGTACTCAGATTGAACCTGTTGTTGCAATGTACGAGCAAATGGGTGTTATTAAAGATGATTTAATACCTTTGTTGGTTTGCAGGCCTACTATAATCCGCAGAAGTAGTTTAGATGATGTGAAGTTGGGGATTATTAGGAAAACAGGTGTAGAAGCAGGTTCTAAGATGTATAAACACGTGGTTACAATTTTTGCCATTTCGAGGACTGAGACTATTCTTGAGAAGGTAACAAATTTTGAGAAGTTCGGATTCACAGAGGATGAAGTTTTTAGGCTTCTTGGACTGTCGCCTGTTCTGTTGACACTTTCCATAGATAAAGTTCAGCGGAATATGACTTTTGTGTTGGGTACCATGAAGCTAAGTGCAGGTGTTGTGCTCCAGAACCCATTTTTGGTATTGGTTAATCTGGACAGAGTGATAAAAACAAGGTTTCATTTAGGGGGGAAGATAGACGATATGGGTCTTCAGCCTCAAATAAAAGGCCCTTTGTTGTTGAAGGCATTACGGATGTCAGAGAAACGGTTCCTCAAGGTTTTTATAGAATGTCATCCAATGGATGTTGCCGAGGAGCTAATGGTGTTTTACAGAACCACAAAATACATTAGTAGGTTGGCTGAAACTTCAAAGAAGAAGACTACTCGTAAAGGGTTCCCATTTTGAAAGGTTTTGGATTCTTTTTATGTGAACCGATTGCTCTTTCCTACAATCATCTGACTATTTGAATTGCTTTTGCTCTTATAATGATTAATTTAGCAGTGTTTTTGTAGGTCTGCTTTGTATCTCCTATTATGTGTTAACAATGTTTTGATTATTTCCAAGATCGCGGATGAATGCTTTTCTTGGCTTGGGGGTTTGATTTTTGAGAGATTTTCTGCAATTTGGACTGCTGACTCCTTGAATTGAGGAATTCATTGATAATGTTTGGCAGATATGGCCCTTGTATTTGTTATTAACTGATCATAAAAATACATGTAACTGTGCTGCTTTGTAATCCATTCGTGAAAGTGATTGACCTGGAGTATGATGGATCCACAGTTTTTCATTTGGGAAAACAATGAAATGGATATAGGTTTTTGCCTAAAGTAGAGGGTGGCATTGAGATTTCAGAGATCTAGGTTTCAAGGATGTTGCAAAGATGCTAATAGCATTGCACAAATTTCGACCTTTCTTTTCATTAACAAGTTCCATTTTGAACCTTTTCCATCTTTGTGAAGTGATTCTTTTCCTGTGATGATTATCTGAATAGTTTAAACTGGTTTCAACATCTTTTTCATTTTGAATGTACTACAGGATTTGGTGCACACACTGCATCTGAGCTAAAATGGAAGGCATTTGTGATACACGTTTTACATATGAAATGTATAAAGATGCACTCTTGCATGAGCTAAAATGGAAGGCATTTATTATACTAGAGTTGTTAGAGTTGGAGCTGTTCATTCAGCGACCAAGACAAATCATACTCCGTATGTTAAAAGGAATGTGCGTTGTGTTTTGTTGTTATTGTTACTTGTTAAAGGAAAAAATATACTATCGTATATGAAGGAGCACAGAGGCATATTCCAGGACCAACATGATTAGCTAGCTATACAACAACCTAGCTAGGAAAAAAACCAAATGAAATTAATTGAAATTAAAACGAGATCAATTTTGTGAGATACATTATATACAAATTTTGTAAGCCAAGTTTTTTTTTTTTAATTTGAACTGTCAAACAGAATGGTGCATGTTCCAAGCCTTCGAGATTTGATACTGTGCAGCAAAACCTAAGACACAACGTTTTTGACTCCAAGCCATTTACATATATCCTTCCAAACACCCAGTTACATGATATTGAAAAATAGATATTAAGAATAACAAAAGCAACAAACCCTATCAGCTTTCAGGAATGACAGTTTGCTTTTTGACAAATTCTTTTCTCAAGTTAATAATTCAATGGTACTTTTAAAACTCTTCACTTTAAAATGATTTGAAAAAACCGAGATCGAAACACCGGGTCATTGACCGTCATGGATAGGGACCGTCGGGTCATTGACAGGATTGACCCGAGACCGCCCGGTTGTCGACCAGACCGAACACAGATCGTCGGGTCATTGGCCGGACAAGATAGGGACCACCGGTTGTTGATCGGATGAGACGGGACTGTTGGGTGGTTGACCGTACAGGACGGAGACTGCCGAGTAGTTGATTATATCGGACGAGGGCTGTCAAGTCATTGAACAGACCATATCAGACCTGAACTCCCCGACCGTCGACCAGACCGAACAGGTACCACATGGTTGTGGTTCGGACCGAACATGGGCCATCGGGTCATCGATCGGACCGGATCACCAGATCATGGACCAGATCGGACCGGGATTGTCGGGTCATCGATCGGATCGAACATGGATTGTTGGGTTGTGGATCGGACCGAAAAGGGGCTGCCGGCTCATGGACCGGACAGGGACTGCCGGGTCGCCGACCGGGCAGAACTAGGACCGTTGGGTAGTCAACCGGACTACACTAGAACCGTCGGGTCATTGACCGGACCAGGCTAGGACCATCAGGTAGTCAATCGGACCACCAGGTCAATACCAGTCCGAACCGTCGGGTCATTGACCGAACCTGATAGGGATCGTCGGGTCGTTAGCCGGACTGGACTAGAAATGACAACGGAGCGGGACCGTATCCACCACTGCCCACTGGGCGTAAGTATGCAAATTCATTGCAGAGGATTGCAACATCCGCGTTTTCCAAATTTGCAAAACTAGTAAAAGTCACTTTTCCAATTCATTAAGGAAAACAGAAACACATTTCATTTTTTTTATTTTGGAAAACGATTTGGTAAACACATTTCTCTGTTATCCTTTCTCCAGTTTTCCGGCAGTTTTGTTTGTTAAACACGTTTTCCTTTTTGAGTTTTCAGGAAAATATCTAAAGAGGCCCTTATTATTTTTTGTTATCCATTCTTCGCCTTGCCACAAATGAAAGGTGGTTTGTAGAGAAGTAGTAGTACCAACTACCAAGTAAGTGTGGTGGAGTGGGGGCGGTGCGGCAAAAGTTGCATGTCCTGCAAAAGGTGGCGGGCATAACGGAATACCTGAATTAAGAAAAGCATCTTGCTTTCTGATTCGGATTTTCTCTTCTCGTTGAAGTTTTCTGACACCCACCTATCTATTCCTCGCTCAACTAAGTGCGTGCCCCCGTATGACTACTGTATAGAGAGAGAGAGAGAGATTTGAGTCGTGTGTATATAGATACAAGTATTCAAGATTCGAAATTCTTGATCGATCGAGATTCCAAGAAAGATCGAAAAAGAGGCCGGGCGGGCGGCTTTTGGGATTGATTAAAGAAATGGGTAAAGCCGCAGCAGAAGGATTGTTATTGATTTTGGTGATAGCGGCGGCGCTGGCATGGAAGGGGCGCGGCGGGAGCGTGGGAGTGAACTGGGGGACGATGTCCTCGCACCAGTTGCCGCCGCGCAGTGTGGTGAAGGCCCTCAAAGACAGCGGCTTCGACAGGGTGAAGGTGTTCGAGGCGGAGCCGCAGATCCTGGAGGCGCTCGCCGGCTCCGGCATTGAAGTCATGCTCGCCCTCCCCAATTTCATGTTGCAGGAGATGAGCCAACACCCCGCTGCTGCCCAGGCTTGGGTGGACGCCAATGTCACCGCCTACTGCCCCGCACTCAAAATCAGGTACGTTGCAGTTGGAAATGAGCCCTTCCTCAAGACTTACAATGGCTCTTTCCTGGCTGACACCTTGCCTGCGTTGCAAAACATTCAACACGCCCTCGACCAGGCTGGCCTCGGAGCCGACGTCAAGGCCACCGTTCCCTTCAATGCTGACATTTACTTCTCCCCCGACTCCAACCCCCTCCCTTCCGCCGGAGATTTCAGGCCCGAAATACGCGACCTCACCATCCAGGTCATCCAATTCCTCAGCTCTAACGCCGCCCCTTTCGTCGTTAACATCTACCCTTTCCTCAGCCTCTACAGCAACCCCTACTTCCCTTTTGACTTTGCCTTCTTTGATGGATCCAACAAGCCTGTCCGGGATGGGAGTGCCGTGTACACCAATGTCTTCGATGCCAATCTCGACACTCTCATTTGGGCGCTCAGGAAAGCCGGGTACCCGAACATGAAGGTCATGATCGGGGAGGTCGGGTGGCCCACCGACGGGGACAAAAGTGCTAATGCTGAAAACGCGCAGCGCTTCAACCAGGGGCTCATCCAGCACGCTTTGAGCGGGGAAGGGACTCCGATCAGGAAGGGCCAGATTGATTTCTACCTCTTCAGCCTCATTGACGAGAACGCAAAGAGCATTGCCCCCGGGAGCTTCGAGAGGCATTGGGGGATTTTCGAGTTCGATGGGAAGCCCAAGTACGAACTGGATTTGTCAGGGAAGAAGCAAAACAAAGGGCTTGTTGCAGTGGAAGGGGTGGCATACATGCACAAGAGGTGGTGCATTTTGAACCCTGAGCTCAAAGAATTGGACGATTTGGCAAGAAACATCGATTACGCGTGTAGCCTTTCGGATTGCACCGCTCTGGAGTACGGGTCTTCTTGCAACCATCTGAGTGCACAGGGGAATGCGTCTTATGCCTTTAACATGTACTATCAGTTCAAGAATCAGAACAGTTGGGATTGCGACTTCTCGGGGTTGGCTGTGGTGACAGATGTGGATCCATCCGAGGGTGAGTGCCAATTCCCGGTGATGATCACTGAAGCCCATTCTGTGATGCTTCTGCATAAGAAGCTTTTGTACATTTTACTGGCCATTGCTCAAGGCTGCATCGTGTTCTTGCTTCTCGTGTCTTAATTAATTACTGCCGCCACATACAATTGCATCCCAGACTTTCTTGGTTCAGTTTAGAGACCATTTAATGCAAAGGCAGCTTAGCATGCCCTCTTAATTACATCACCTGTCTGCAGTACTCGTAATGTTTAAAGAAGCAACGGTACTGACCTGGGGGAAAAGTTTAGTTTCTTTGTGCATCCAGTTATCCTCAGCAGACGCCACTCCGGCCCTTGTTCATGCTCAATGCATGCTGATCAGCTATTTTTTTTTTTTGAATGGTTAGAGGATTAAGGTAGCATTGTGTGAATAAGAATTTCTAATTGATATCATCATTGAATACTTTTTTGTATTCGATAATGAACTGATGGAATAAATGCTACCTTCCCTGACTATGAATACAAGGCCTAGAGAATTGTGTTTTGCTATGCTTTGTTGGTAGTGTGCGATTGCTTGATGTAGTGAGTGTGATGAAATTTGTAGACTGTAGTGGAAATAGAAGTTAAGTTCACTAAAATTAGATGTTGTAGCATGTCCTCACTTGATGGATATAATGTCCACTTTATATAAAGGTCTTCTTGTACATGTCATTTACAACGTTTTGTGTATATAAAGTCTGTCCTTGGTTGATGGATATAATGTCCACTTTATATAAAAGGTCTTCTTGTACATGTCATTTACAATGTTTTGTCTATATAAAGTCCATCTTTTAAGGTGAATTGTTTGTGACACAAACAGTCAAATACAAATATTCTTTTGTCTGTGTCACAAACAATTCACCTTAAAAAAATGCAAAGACAATGTATGTATGGTAAGAGGGTCGTCTAATGAATTTAGAGGTCTCGGTTCTAAATTCAAAGAGGACTCATGCAACTTTCATAACACTAAGCACTTACTTAACTTTTCATTTAATGCAATTAAAGGGTTTTGTGTGTGTAAGAAATAGTGTTGTGTTTGGAAACTCACCATACTATTATATTGTTATATACATGTAAAGATTACTTTAAAGAATAGTTCGCGCCGCCAAGTAACATGCTGAATTGGAAGTCCATATGATACCCGAATTCTCAATATTCGTGATTAATATTAAAAGATTTGTGATAATTGAGATTATTCGCAGTTTTTGCTTATTAATTTATTTTAGTGTTCCCTATTGAGACTATTCGCTGTCAATTATATGTTAAAAGTATATTACATATATGAATAATATGAATATAATTTGATTCAAATGAGAACATGATCTAAGGAGAGAAATGAAAATGATTCTAGAGTGTTGAATTTGTGTATTGTGCATTGTATGAATTGTGAAACAAAAATGTGCACTATCACCAATGTGCATTTGAAACATTACTTTAACCATAAAAGTGTACATGATTGGAACTATGCATTATTTTAACTATAAATAGTGCTGGACTCGGGCCGGTTCGGGCCCGGTTCGGGCCTGGGCCCGGCCGGGCCTCGGGCCAGGAAAGGGAGGCCCGAGCCCGAACCGCCGGTGGCCGGTTCCGGTCCCGGTTCCGGGCCAAACCGGGCCGGGCCGGGCCGGGCCGAACCGGCCCAATTTTTTTTTTTTTTTGTTCTCCTATTTAATCCCCTACCCCTACCCCTCAACCCCAAACCATCCCAAACCACCTCAAATGGCCCAAAATACCTAATCCAACCTAAAACTTAAAAAAATTTCAAAAAAAAAAAAAATTAAAATCCGGCCCGGATCGGGCCCGAACCGGCCGGGCCGGTTCACCAAAACCTGGGCCCGGGCCCGAACCGCCCAGCAGCCGGGCCGGGCTGAACCGAACCGCCCAGCAGCCGGGCCGGGCCGAACCGAACCGGCGGACCCACCGGGCCCCGGGCCGGGCCAAACAGTAACCGGGCCGGGCCGGTTCCGGGCCGGGCCGCCCGGGCCGGTTCCGGGCCGGGCCGCCCGGGCCGGTTCCGGGCCGGGCCGCCCGGCCCGAGTCCAGCATTAACTATAAATGTGCACTTTCGTAAACCATGTGCATCATTTTGGATCGTTCTCGATCATTTCTCACAAGATGTGTTATCACCACAACCATACCCAATATGAACATATATGATATGTACCATCATATAATATTAAGATGGATGAGAATATAATAGAGATATTATAGATTGAAGAATATGAGAAAATTGAAGGTGTATTTAGAAAAATTTATGAATCCCCCAACCCCTCCAACCATAAGAGTCGTTTGATGGCGTTTGTGCTTTATGAAAAATTCAGAGGTATTTATGAAAAATTCAGGTGTACGTAAAATCGCAAATGGTTCTTCATTGCAAATGGCGTCTGTGCATCTAGGGTGGTGGAGTTGGTCACATATTTCAAGATTTAATTAGATGGAGGGAAAAAATGTAATCAGCGGTCCTATTTAGAGAATAATAAACTTTAAGTCCTATTTAGGAAGTTTGACAATGTTTTAGTCTTGTTTACGGCAATTTCTTTTTACAAAAAGAACTCTCATAATAGAGTGAGAAATAGAGTACATAAATATACAACAACAACGACATTGTCCTAGTGCTGCAAAGGCTTCCACATGCGGTAGAGTAAAAGGGCGCCGAATGTACACAGTCTTATCCATGTACAGCACAGAGAGATTGCTTCCGGGGGATCCATGTTGAAAATCACGTCGAAAATTGCATGGACTTACTGTGTCATAACTTAGCGAGTCATTTTGCTTTATTCCATCATATTCTCAAACCAAAAAATGATGAGACTTTGGCTCCATTGGAATACAAAAAGATGGAATAGAAATAAAAACAAAAAGATGAAAAAGGAATAAAAGTGTCAAGGGATAAAAAAAAAGGTATGAAGAAGAAAAAAGAAAATTGAGACATAAGACTGTTATGTGAAGGTTTGTACAGGGTGAGATTATTTATATAGGTGAAATTATTTATATAATGTTTCCAAAGAAAACGCAAAAGACCTGGTATAGCAAGTAATCAATCATTTACTGACTAGCAAAAGAAGATAATGAGCAAATGTTAGATTATTCTTAAATTACGTAAAAGTGAGATTAGTTTAAGAAGACTGGTGAAATGTGAGATAATTGTTGTCAATTTTTCATTTTCATGACAGTACTAAATTTTCAGGTCACTAATAGATTTCGTTGCCCGATTTTCATGTCATTGCCACCACGAGATATTTCACTATGACCATTGGAAATTCTTTCAGGTGACTCTTTTCGGTGAATTTTGAGTAACAAATCGAGAAAAATGAAGAAAAAAAAAAAAAAAAAATTGGCATCGATTTCCGGCGACAAATCTAACAACGGCGGGGCAGGTGTGGGAGGGAGGCTGAGGTAGAGATTGGATACAAATTACAATGAGAAAAATTGGATTAATTAAATAAAAAGTTAGTCATATTGTTGGAGAAAAGAAAAGTAATCACTTGTTTAAATTTCACAAGTTATGTGTAAATTAAAAACAAGCTGATGTATTTGGCAAAGACGAAGGATGGCAGACCTAAAACATTTACCACGGATCAAGAAATTATGCATGCAATGTTTCTGCCAGATTTTTTCGATTTCTGATATATTCATGGTCAATAGGTAATCGGATTGACTTAGGTGCCGGTTCGTCAGTTTCCGGGTGGACCCGGTCTAGTCGGGTTTCTTAAACATAGCTTTCCAGCACACTTCACCTACTCCATATAGAAAGCGTGCTTAACTAGATATAGGGTTGGTTTGCAACTGCTTTTAAAAAAACACTTCTCAGCTTTTGGCTTTAAAAAAGCACTTATTTTCCCAAACACTATAACTTTTATTTTTCTCGGCTTCCGCGTCAAAAGTGCTTTTACTTTTTCTATTACACAAAAAACACTTATTTTACCAAACACTACCCACTTTTACTTTTCAAAATCACTTTTTTCTAAAACACTATCAACCTTTATTTAATCACTTCTCCCCATTTCATTAAAAAAAGCACTTTTTTAAAAGCAGAAGCTATTGCAAACAGACCCATAGTGATGTAATGAAGATTTCATTCTACTTCGTTACACAATTGATTTCATTACACATTCCACTGCATTATACCTAATGTAGGCTTAGAGTTTGGCTAACGGTATATTGTTATTTAAATATTTTATGATTTATGGCGGTCCTATTCGGTAAACAAAACGTATGGTTATGGTAATCATCACGCTGATATTTTTTCTCAAAGATCATTGCATCAAATATGGAGGAGGTGAGTATATTTAGCAAGAGCAGCTGGAGGCTGTGCCTGAAGTACGTTCCACCACCCGGTAGAGATGCCAGAGACCCAACCAAAAAGAGCCCCTAGAGGCAACTTTGGAAAAAGGAATTGAAAAAAACGAAGGACATTGAAGCCATGTTTTCTGAGCTTTGACACAATCAAACTTCTAAAGAAGATGATTATCTAGGTGCTACACGGAGAGTGTGAAAACAGAGAATGTCAACCGTTATAAAAAAGGTGGTGGTCGTGTTGATACAGCTGATGAGAGCAAGAATGTAAAAACAGAAGTCAAACATGCTATAGAACACCATAATGGTATTGAGGTTGGAAGGGGAAATTAAAGTACTGGTGGAATTGAGATGAATCATGAATGAGGATGCTAGTAGCACCATTGTTGCGAGAGAGTAAAAAAAGTGCAGTCGGTCTATGAAAAAGAAGAACAGCAAGTCAAGCAAAGAGATAGCTGCTGCTGCTAGTGAATTAGCTACAAGGAATGCACGGCTAGCTGCTGCAGCAGCAGCAGCAAAGAAAAAGGAGAGGAACCACTACATATATACTAAATATTAAGTATGATCCATTACTAAATATACACAAGACACATATGAATCTTGTTCAATTTTAGACTGAACATGAGGTTTTACTTTTTTTCTTAACTTGGCAATTGCCAGCCAAAAAATTGGTTAACCACATGGTACACCTATAAATAAATCTTCTATCCATTAGTAGCTTTCTTTGTGTGGATTAGCAAAAGATTTTAGTATGTTGATGCATTTGGGGGTAGTTGTAAGACGACTATGGTTTGCTCATGCGTACAGCATTTTGTTGATTTTTGTAACCCCGTCTAATAATAAAAGGAGGCCTAGTATTACAAGTATAACAGATATGACCAACCCAGAGCAGTATTTAATTCTTTTATGCTCAATTCATGACTGCCATCAATGTCAACTGTCCTTCAACCATTAAATACCTGAAATGTTTCATACCTTGATCATCTATATCCTCACTTTTAGTGTTGGTTTCCAAAGTTTAACAACTTGAATTGTCTTCGGAACTCATTTCCCCTTCACACGCACTCAACATTTCTTCATGGATCCATCGGTTCAAGAACTACATTTCCCTGGCATTACTAAGATCCCCATAACCATTGACCGTATAGCTCCAGTCCTACCAGCAGGCTCCATTCCGGTTGGCCATGGGGACACCCTATACCTCTCAAACCTAGATGACATGGTTGGAGTTCGTGTCTTTACTCCAACCATATACTTTTACCGCCGACCGCGTTGCATTTCTAATCAGAAACCAGAGGTGATGAACAATGCCCTTGAAGAAGCCCTTGCGCATGTATTGGTGCCTTACTATCCTTTCTCGGGTAGGTTACGAGAGACGGGAAACGGAAAGCTAGAAGTGTTTTTTGGGCCAAACCAGGGAGCAATTCTTGTGGAGGCACACTCACAAATGAGTTTAGAGGATCTTGGAGATCTTACTGTTCCAAATCCTGATTGGAAGTCTCTGGTTTACAGCTTCCCAAACGAAGAACAGTATAAAGTGATTGACATGCCTTTGTTAATAGCCCAAGTAACTCGGTTCAACTGTGGTGGGCTGAGTCTTGGGCTAAGAATCTGCCATTGCCTCTGTGATGGCGTAGGAGCAATGCAGTTTCTCAATGCATGGGCTGCCACATGCAGAAAAGGTGGTTCGTTCATACTAAGCCCCAAACCCTATTGGGGCAGAGAATTTTTCCGAGCGCGTGACCCCCCGAGAGTCGAATACCCACATGCCGAGTTCTGGAGAATCGACGACGGATCAAGCCTAACTAGAAGTCTTTGGGAAGCGAAGCTGTAACACTTGAGATTTAATATAAATGGATTAATAGTACTACTCATACCAACAGAGGTGCATCTCCTTTTAAGGGAGCTCATTACCCAAGAACTCCAAAGTTAAGCGTGCTTGCACGGGAGTAGTCTTGGGATGGGTGACCCCCTGGGAAGTTTCTCAGGGCGCGCACGAGTGAGGACAAAGTGCGCGGTAAAGGCTCGTGGTGGTTTGTGGGGACAGTACTATTGGTCCGGAGTAACTACCTCGGGTCCGGTGGGGCCGGGGTGTTACAGGTGGTATCAGAGCAACCCCGCGACAGTGTGATGACCCGTTGGATATCGGGCGGGCACTTAGCGGGGGAAGATTCTGGGATTTGATTGAGATTTGAGATTGGTTCAAGGGCGCAACGAGGACGTTGCGATCCTAAGTGGGGGTGATTGTAACACTTGAGATTTAATATAAATGGATTAATAGTACTACTCATACCAACAGAGGTGCATCTCCTTTTAAGGGAGCTCATTACCCAAGAACTCCAAAGTTAAGCGTGCTTGCACGGGAGTAGTCTTGGGATGGGTGACCCCCTGGGAAGTTTCTCAGGGCGCGCACGAGTGAGGACAAAGTGCGCGGTAAAGGCTCGTGGTGGTTTGTGGGGACAGTACTATTGGTCCGGAGTAACTACCTCGGGTCCGGTGGGGCCGGGGTGTTACAGAAGCCCTTACAGAAATGTTATAGGGTTACACGAGAGTACCAGGCTGTTGTGAAAAGCCTAGCTCGACCTGCTGGGGATTCCACCACCACCACCTTTGATGCCATGGCAGCTCATGTATGGAGGTCATGGGTTCGAGCCCTCGACGTAACACCTCTTGACTATCAGCTCCGACTTACATTTGCTGTTAATGCACGCCAGAAGCTCAAGAATCCGCCTTTGAGAGAAGGGTTTTATGGCAATGCATTGGCCGTGGCTTGTGCCACAAGCACGGTAGCTGGGCTTCATAGTGGGCCTTTGGCGGAAACAACCCGGTTGGTTCGCGAGGCACGCTTGGCCGTCTCAGAGGAATACCTGCGGTCCACAATTGACTACATTGAAGTGGACAGGCCTAGGAGGCTTGAGTTTGGAGGGAAATTGAGCATTACCCAATGGACCAGATTCTCATTATACGAATCTGCAGACTTTGGTTGGGGAAGGCCCATTTATGCAGGCCCAATAGACCTGACTCCAACCCCACAAGTTTGTGTTTTCTTGCCAGGAGGAAGTGGGGATTCTGATGGAACAATGCTTGTTTGCATTTGCCTCCCAGAGTCTGCAAGCAATAAATTCAAAGAGCTTTTGAGCTGCTGCTCTTCCTCCATAACTCTCAGCTAGATGAGCCAAGCATTAGTTCGGACAGTTAGATTTATATGTAAGATCCAATATATCTGTCCAAATTAAAAGCCATCCATCAGTCTAGAAGGCTGACTTTCTTATTATTCAAAAAAACTTTGATATGTTTGGTAATGAATGCACTGTTGACCACATCTGAAATTAATTCCACTTTGGCTGGTCAATCACAGCTTTTACAAGTACAAAAATAGTTTTTGTACACACTTTTTGGGTGCCAGAATACGTTTTGTTTGTATTGACAACAAAAAAGCCTACACAGACATGTGTAAAAGTGTGTACACCTAAAAAGTGTGTACACCAAGTCCAACTGTTAAAAGTATAACTTGAATGAGAAGAAGAAGAAGAAGAAACAAAGGATGCAAGTGAACATGTACTCAACCAAATTTAGTTGATCAAACAGTATGTATATACTACCACAGTCCCAAAATTTACTTCCCACTTTGAATTGGCACACTTATTATTGAAGTGTAAATGAGAAGAAAATTTTGGGACAACCCAGGAAAGTAGGAAGACATGGGACAAATGAAGTAAAAGAGTTTGCATCACCTCGGGAAATATATTAACCAAACAAACGCAACTCCTATGAAATTGATAGCGGAAAACTATCAAAGATGGAGGACCCTTAGCTGCATCATTTTTTGTAATCGTTGCCGTAGTAGCTTTTGCTTAAACCTTCTAAATGCTAAAACTTAGGTCTTGAGTATTTTTAAGAGGCTCGCAGGTCTTGATTGCTAGCTTACTTCCATGCATTTTTAAGAGGCTCGCAGGTATTTTTGGACTTCCATGCATATTGCCAAAGTACCATGATGACTTTTCATATGAATTTGGCTGAATGAATGGAATCTCAGAAACTTAGTTTCTCGTAACAGCAATTTTTTAACCATTCAAAACCACAGCAATATTCAAGAAAGTCAAAAGAGAGCTATATCCAATACCACTCTAACAGGCACTGAACCTCTCAATTGTGAAGTAGTCATGGCGAAATTTCAGTTCAAATCAAGATCATGTCTGCCTATAAACTACAAAGGCACCCATTCCAATTCCAGTACACCTGGTTCTGGGTCCAATATTTATGCTTGCAGTAAACTAAACCACAAAAAGCAGATCTGGTCTGGTCGTGGTTAATGACTGGTTTTTTAGCCTACTTAAAAAATATTAAAAACCCGAACAGGAACCATTATAGACCTACTTTGGAGGATCCGGAACTGGTTTGGGCTGGTTTGAGAAAACTATTCCAATGTGGAACCATAAAAATTGGGCAACCGGCATTGTACTTTACCTGCCATGGGTCCACCCTATGTGTCTGCCCATGACTGAAATGGCATCCAAGAACTACTTCATAATTAACAAAGTTTATCAGACACAATTGAAAGCCAGGTTTAGGTTGATATTTAGCCATCAAAAAAATTGGGCACATATGTTCTCCCTTACAAATAAATTTTAAGAACATGTATACACTCATTTAACTTCAGGACAGTGATAAACGCAATTCAGATATATTGACAGACACTTTTGTTCATTTAAATCCTCGAACTGACTTGAACCTTAGAAAACTGTACAAGAGGGATTTCATTGCCATAAACCAGAGATGCGTTAATCGCAGTATTCTCATTTGTTTACCAGGTACCTACCCTAAACAAACTTCACTTAAACCTGTTCAGTTGCTTCTGCCTGAGATGGTGAAGTTTCACTTTCCACTTCAATCTCAAAATTCAATTTAAACTTGTTGAGTCACTTCTGCCTGAAATGTTGAAGTTTCACTCTCCACTTCAATCTCAAACTTACAAAGGGGGCAAGATGCATTTATCTTCAACCACTTATCCACACATTGTGCATGGAAGAAGTGTGAGCAAGGCAACTCCCTGAGCTCATCATCATCCTCATACTTAGACAGACAAATGCAACAAACCTGCAGCAATTAGGCAGCGCCAAATGTTATGCCATGGGACAAGACAGGTATCGCTAAGGATGCAATTTCAATCGCTACACATCAACAGAAGCAAATTAATACAGCACGCCTAATCTAATAAAAAAGGCTATAAAAATGAAAAATGCACCCAAAAAAGTGTTACGAAATCCATATACAGCACATGCTATGTTATGTGTTGTTGCACTTGTGGAACAAGATCCTGCCATCACATGTGCATTTTGTAATACTTTATGCAAGTGTTGCTGTAGTTGTAGAATGGTCCAATTATAATATAATTGCAAACAAATAATACTTTATTGCTTAATCTTATAGGTTAAATCAATACTTTATCTTATTAATCCATACTTTATCTTCAGACTTCAGTCACATGGAAAAGATAATTCTTGGGTTTATGATTTATACTTTATAGGTTAAATCGATTTAAATATCTGTTTGATATATATAATGACACCCACATCACATCCATTGTTTCAGTTCTCCAAATATATTCCCACAAAATGTCAAATCTCCAGAAAACCTTGCCTAATCAGAGCAAGAGATTCCAGATGCTCATTAATCAGTACGCACTGACATTTTACAAAAAAAATACTTGTTCAATGAAACAAAATTCCAACCAGTTGGTAGTGGCTTTTTGGAGCCTCTTATGTAATGCATCATTATCATCATTATCAGCACCATAATCCCAACTAGTTGGGTCGGTGGGATGATGGGATCAAAGTTTTAGTTCCGGTAACTTGAAAAAAAGCATAGTAGCAATGTTATACTCCCTCCGTTTCGCAATTAAAGTCACACTTTCCTTTTTTGGATGTGCCAAAATAAAAGTCACACTTCCCATTTAGGAAAGAAATCTATATCAATACAGTACAAAACAGTGCAAAACAGTGCCAAACAGTGTACTCTACGTTAAAACTTGCCCCCCAGTAAAAAAAAATCCTTAAACTTTGTGAAATCAAAGTGTGACTTTGATTGTGAAACGGAGGGAGTATGCCAGATGCCCTTCACGCCCTAACCTTAGGATATTGTTAAGGGAAAACTGTGAATTTGATCCTCGTACTATCATGAAAAAGCTAATTAGGTCCTCATACTTTTAAAAAAATCAATCAAATCCCCGAACCTTGAAAAAACGTTCAATTGAATCAATTAGCAGGTCAACCGCTAACGTGGCACACACATGGCTGTCCATGTGTGAGCCACGTCATCGGCAAATGGCTGACTAGGCTTTTACGTGTGCGCCACGTCAACAAAGTCACCGTTGACTCGGCTGCCACATGTGTGACACGTCAGCGGATGACCTGCTAAAGGACTCAATTGAACGTTTTTACAAAGTTCAGAGATTTGATTGATTTTTTTAAATGTACGAGGACTTAATTGACTTTTTTGTGATAGTACGAGGACCAAATTGACAGTTTTCCTATTTTTAATTGGACTGAATTTTCTTTTGTTTAGTCTGTTTAAGTCTGGTCTGGTAGATGTATGTTCTACTCCGTATATGTATTTTACAAATGTTGATGTCATGTCTGGTCTGGTATGTTTAAGTCTAGTTTGGGACTGAAACCAATCCAATTGAAAACATCCTTAATAAGAAGGAATACAAGAACAACATCCAAGACTTAGTCCCAAGAGTTTGGGGTCAGCTAACATGAATCGACATATGAAATCGGAGTTAAATGAGTGCACCCTCTCATGATATTTTTCATGCATCTCGAAATCACCTATGATGATGACGCTTTTAAAATTTTCATCTCATTACTCCTTGTCTCCTTGTTTGACATTAAAATTAAAAAACGTCATCATCATAGGTTATTTCTAGATGAAAAATATCATGAGGGTGCACTCCTTTTTATGCACAAAGTCCAGTCCAATTTCCAGAGCATAGTATAGCATGAGATATGAGTAGATAGAGAAATAAACATACTGCATCTTCTCCTGATATGACACGCTCCTTTTCTGTTCCGGCTGCTACAAAACCACCATCTTCAACCTCAATGTCAGTGTCTTCAACACTGCAATGACTCTTTAGATTGAACTTGTGCATTGGCAGGGCATTGATAGATTCTTCACTTGCACCTCTAATTCCATTCATATCTTCATGGACACCAACTAGTGATATGATACACGGCAGACAACAGCAAATCATTGCACACAAGACGAAAGGCATTGCATACCCAATACAGCTAATTGTAAGGAAAACTACACAAAGCCTGTAAAGCCAGTAAAGAGCAAGTAAGCATATCTGCAACAGTTAATCAAAGAAAAGGGTTGACAGGAAAGTACGAAGCACCTATACAGATTGGGAGCATCGGTAGACGATGACTGCCCCCCGAAGATCCAAACATTTCCAACAACAAACCAAACAGCAAAGAAGCAATCCAATGCCATTTTGAAGTGTTCCATAAATGAAACAATCCTGGCCAAAAAACAAATGGGAGTTAGATCACAAAGTAAAAGTAACAATGGATTTAGTAAAAACTTATAGGTCAAAATAAGATAAAAAATACAAAAAAAAATCACAACTACGTATTGTGCACTCAGATTAAAAAAGCATATAATATCATTTGTCAAAACACCAACTAACTTGATAATGCACCTCAAATAAAATGTGCATATATTTACCTAGGATTTTGAGTTTCATTGTTTTGCTGATTCCAGATGCCCGTGGAGGATGATGCATTTGGAACATTCTGGCCATCTTCTTCTGCCGACCGAGTCAATGAAATAGTAATGTAAGAATTAGGATCTGAGGTGGAATTTACTCGGTTAGAGGCTTGACGCAATGAAGTTGACCTCGGGTTACTGACCACCTGATTACGGTGACGATATCTCCAGTACAGGAGAGGAAGTGTTGCAGCATACCCAGCCGCATAACCCACTATCCAAGCAAACAATGGAGTTTGTGGATTTTCATGACTTGATAAGGATAAAACAACAATGGCAGCTGTAATTTGACCTAAAGAGAATACTAACTCAATGGAAATCCACAACATTGTATTAAAAGGACTCCACCGACGACCCAAACCTTCACCTCTCCTTGTGAGACTACTATGAGAATTTGATACATTTGATGGAAGAGGAAATTGACTGCCTGATGGTCGAACTTCATGATGAGGTGCATTCAAGCTAGGAACCTCATTGTTAGGTGAAGCTGAAAATGAATGATTACGACATTGTATATCTATAACATGATCATTGTGTTCACAATTTCCTCCCTGCTCCATAAGCAAAGGAAATCTATCAGTTGTGTTTTCCGGAATTGGTTCTTCAGATGTAGCAGCCATTTAAACTTTTAACCCGACAAAACTCAATACGGTTATGGTTATCCAGATGGTTGTAGAGCATAAGTATCACAATAGCATTTGCCGCAAAGGCTACTTATTCAGATGGCCTTCTTGAACTGCATAGGAACCAATGACGGAGTATTAAGAAGTTGCATGACTAATCACCTTTAGTAGAACACTTACCAGAAGCCTATGCTCATTCAGTCTAATAACATGAGGATATTAAACAAATAGTCTTTCAGATAGCAGTCAGGAAAAGGCAAGTTTTACCTACATATATGAATTATGAACTATTAGTTTTTAAATCTGAACTTGTTACAAAAGAGAAAACATTGATAAGTAATTTAATCCTACGCACTTAATAACTATTTCCATTGAGTTTAGAGCATTGGTCACAATTGACACTTGGGATTAACTTTCAAAATCCATCACAATGCTTGTTAGATAGTTATATCAGTCCATTCCCTAATCCCCTCCCCCACCGGAAGGAAAAAGAACAAACAATTTTTTGAAAAGTACAATTTTTCAAAATCCATTCAGAATGGTTCCTATGCCCGATCCTCCGGAGCTACAAAAATAAGACAATGCCCGAGGGAAATGAATTAAATTGAAAATGAGATAGAAATATAAAAGCAAAATTAAACAACTTCATGCACAAAAGTGGTAGGATATTCAACAGGGAGTATATTTAACAAAAGATAATCATGTGGACAATCCATCAATTACCCGTGAATAGGAATGATTGATCCTCTTTGCGAGTATAATATTTTATACTCCGGAACTGGATTCGGGATTGCAGTATGTTCTTCTTCAGAATGACCACAAAATTATCAGCTTTCGACCAACCATTAAAGACACCCTCCGCAGATTTATTATTAATTTATTCACTAATTTAGTATTTTTTCTAATGGTTTAGGTTGGGGTAGGAGAGGAGCTGGGGAGGACGAAATGAAAAGGCTAAACTCCGAATTAAGAATTTTTCCTTGCTAATAAAAAAGTCATCTTAGTTTTCAATAAAAAAAAGTCATCCTAGTAATTATTACGTAGTAATTATACTTTTTAAACTTTACATCGTAGTAATTTACATCAATAAGATATAAATTTGAACAAAATTATAGTCACTAATGATTACTAACTACTTCATCCGTCTCATTTAAAGCTTCTCACGCGGATCACGCGGTTTACGATGTTTGACTGACCATAAAGTCAACTGATCCTTGTCATTAATAAGATTATTTTTAGCAAATAAAATTTACATAGGACCCATTTGGAAAACGGCGAGTGCATGAATAAATCGCTGCTTTTTTAAACTTGAAACCGCTGCTTTTAGCAGCGGGTAGGTGCGGATCCGCCGATAAACAAACAACACCATATTCAGAAACTAAATTAAAAGTTTTATAATACCTGGTCAAGAAAAATTAAATTTGATAAAAGTTGGATATATAAAGTAAAAGATTAAGAACAGGAGCGGAGGTGGAGGGGTGGCCAACCGCGCCACAGCTCAGCCTGAATTTTAAAATTGCTTATATTTTTAATGAAAAAATTTATGTGTAAAAATTTATCTGTAGAAATTCTTTGTACCGGCTCAGCCCAACTCTTACTCCAGGTTACGTCCCTAATTAAGAACAATTCACGTTGACTGAAGAATAGTGGATAGGAAGCTTTAAATGGGACGGAGGAAGTAATATTTTTGTTCATCACATTTTAAAGAGTAATATTTATGAAATTTTTTCTTTTATTACTGAGATAATAATAATTACTTCTGGTTAATTAATAAAAATATTAATAAAATTTTAATACTGATGTTTTGGAATTCACAAACATCTTTACTCCTATTTAAAGCAAATTCTTAATAAAGAATGTTTAACGTCCAAACATGCCAATTGCACTTTTACACAACATTATTGCGCAATTAGGATGTGTTTGGTAAAATATAAATTAATTACTTTACATTTGAGATGTAATTGTGTAGGGGCGTAAAAGGTTTACGTTATTTGACTTCAGTATTTAATGTAAACTGTATGACACTTTTAAAAAACATTTCACAAAACATTATCAAAGTATTTTACATTGGGGAAGGTGATCAAATATTTTGCATGCTTTGTATAAAGCATTAACGTGCAAGTTAAAAATAAATTACACATGTAATTTATTTTAAAATCACAGTGGTTGTTTACAACAATGTAAAGCACATGTAATCTTTATAAAGCATAGTAATTTATTATAAAGCACATGTAATCTTTAATAAATTACAACAATGTAATCTATTTTGAGAGCATATTGGTTGTTTTCCTAAATTTTGCATGCAACCAGTACTTCACGTACAAACATTTAATATGTAGACTATCAAACGAGCTCTTATGTCAAGACATTTCTTTAGGTAAGAAACTCTATTTTAACGTGAATAGTGCATTAATTTTGCTTTACGGGAAATGTGCACTTTGTACATCAAGGTTGTTTTTTATTGGCTAAAGGGTCAAATGGGTACTTGTACTGGTCTTGTAAGCTCAATTCAGTCCCTGAACTAAAAAAGGGTTGAATCCACACCCCGAACCGACAAAAAATGGTTCAAATTTCATTTTCTACAGGTAAATAACCGGTCATTTTTTAATTTTTTAATTGTTATGTTTTATATTTTCGATTTATTGCAATTTTGACACTTTTTAATAATTTAGGGGTGCGAATTGGACCTTTTTTACCGGTTATTTAACCTTAAAAATTAAATTTGAACCCACTTTTGTCGGTTCGGGTGTGAATAGGACTTTTTTAGTTTAGGGACTGAATTGAGCTTACAGGACGAGTGGAGAGGAGAGGTATATAAATGAAAAACATTTATAAATTGAATCAACAAATATATAAATGGTGTGATTTTAGTGAGAATTGAGGTTTAGAAGAAAAATGAAAAATTATCTAAATTGTTCAAAATTGAATCGGATTTTGCACATCTTGGAGAATAAGTAATAACATATATCTACTAATAACGGTGTATTGGTAAAAAAACATTCGAAATCTTAACTTGGGAATGCATATGATTTAAAAGTCTTAAAACATCTAAGACACTCATTAAGGGTTTGGATGTATAGAAAATTAATTTTCTTGTACAACTAGCATCATTGCAAACTAAAATATAGCAACTATAGAAATAGTGCAACAAATATTATTGCATATATTAGTAGATTTTTTCCGTTAAGTATTCTTTTATCGTATACTTTTATGATGCGATTACACACTAAGAAATAATTCCCTGTGTGTAGTCATTTTATGTATACATTTTTTTAGTTATTGTGCACTTCTCACTTTTTATGCACTTATTAGTAATAAATTTACATAGGGCGCACTACACTTCACAGGTTTGGGCGTGGTGATAAGAATGCTAAGGTTGCTAGGTCATTGCCCGTAAGAGGGGCGCCACTCCAATGCCTCGGGTGGTGTCAAATATGCAAGCGCATGGTAAGGTAGGTGTGGTGTGAAGAATAGAAGGCGAGATGCTAGCTAGATTGCGCTTTTAAACGTCGAATGTTGTCTCTCTTACGGGAAGATGATCTAATTTAGTCGAGGTTATGAGGAGGAATATCAATATTATGTGTGTGCAAGGAACTGAATGAATTGGAGAAAAGGCACATGAGATTAATGTTGAAAGTTTAACGTTGTGATATTTGAGGAGAGAGAATACCATAAATGGAGTAGCCTTTATTGTGGCACGTGCTTATGTTGAGGGTGTGGTGGAAATCTTAAGGAAAGTTGGTCGCAACATAAGCATTAAATTGGTGATTCGGGATGGGATCATGTTCGGCTAAGTGCATATGCACCACAAGTTGGATTGGATGCATCTATCACTCAACAAATTTGGGAATGTCTAGAGGAAGTGGTGCGATGAGTTCCAAGGACATAGAATATAGTCATAGGAGGCGATCCCAACAGGCATGTGGGCCTAAGTCTTGATGATTTTGAGAGTATCCATGGCGGGCATGGTTTTGAAACTACATGTGAGTTAGCTATAATGAACATTTGGTTCAAGAAAGAGACTTTCACCTTGCAACCTATAGAAGTGGAGTTAATAGTACCAAATTGATTACTTCTTAGTACAGACTACTTGGAGAACTAGATACATCGATTGTAAGGTTATCCTAGGTGAGAGTGGTGTCACTCTGCTTAGGATGTTTGTGTTTGATTTTCAAGGTACGAAGCATAGAAGGTGGATTAAGCAACAATTGAAGCCAAAGATAAAGTGTTGGAGGTTCGAGCGGGATCTCCAACAAAGTTTTGCACAAAAATGTTAAGAGAAGATGCTCGCCCATAGTTTTTATTTTTCTAGGGTTAGCTTAGTGATCATGTCCTGTGACTGCGTTATTTTGACGTTTAGAAAGGATTCCTTCTCAAGTTGTTTGACTAGAACATTAAAATTATGTTCTAGTCTCCCTTTTAGCTCCTTAACTAATCAGTCAGGATTAGATTCAGAATATAATGATGAAGTGGAAGATTTAGATGTACTTACTTCATCATCTGAATCCTTGTTTTCAACCGAAAGGGCAGTGAGAGGTTCATTCTCCACATCTTCCTTTTCTTCCTCAATCATGGCCATCAACGCCGGGTTGATCTCTTCTTCGTCAGATGAACCATCCATCCAATGGTCCTTCTCGGCCATCAAATCACTTTCACTTCCATCCTCCTCCACAGCTAGCATCAGCTTCTTTTTGTTCAGTTGAACCTTTTGCTGATAGTACTCAGCATCATTCCTTCTCTTTGGCAATCTGCAGTCCTTTATAAGATGTCCTGGGTTCCCACAATTGTAGCACTTAGGAGCATCCTCAGCATCTAGAGCATCAGATGTATTAAATGGTATTTCTTTCCGCTTGGTGCTGGTAGAGGACTTGCAAAGTCTGTTAGAAGACGAGTTATTCTTCTTGAAGATTTGGTTGTTAAACCTAGAAGTCAGAAGAAGTAGCTGCTTTTGGATGTCCAAGAGTCCACCATCAGAATCATCATCAACATCTACATCACTTTCTTCAGTCTCAGGAGAGATAGCCTCCATCTTCTTTTTCTGGATCTTTGAAGCTGATTTGGAGGGTCTTTCAAGCATAAGAGCTAATGTGTCAGCCAGCTTGTTCACCGCAGCTTTACCTTCCTCATCAACAACACTCACAGAATCAGAGAAAGCATTAGCATATTGGTCAAGAGTGTTGTAGGTTGCATGAACATCCATCTCCTCTAAATCTTTAGTGTGTCTGATGTGAGAACATAACTTCCTCCACTTAGGGGTTAGAGATGACAGGAATCTCACGTTGAACTCCATATTGGATTTATGAATGTTGATCGTCCTCATCTCATTGATCAATCTCAGAAAGCGGATGCAGGTATCCTCAAATGATTCTCACAACTTAGCTTTGAATGAGTCATATGCAGTGAACGTGTTTGCCTTCTTCGCCTTCACACCAATTTCGGTTCCTTGCATGATCTTGAAAATCTCACCCCACATCTCCTTTGCAGTTGACATACTATCAATCTGCACGTAGATGTCGTTCGGTATAGCCTGCAACACATAAGTCTTTGCAAGAAGGTCAGCACAGATTCTGGTATGATCCTGTTCATCACACTCTTCTTCAATTTTAAGTCTTCTGTGTCACTAATTGGGGGTTGTTCTCGGGATTTCCTTCAATAGCTATCCAAAGCTGTGTTGAACCGTTAGTGATTGAGTTCAACAAACCTGAGGAGTGGTCTTTGCTTTTTTTTGGGATGAAATTTAAGTATGTATTAAACTCACCCAAAAGTAACATAATACAATGTATCAAAACTATTTAAGCTAGCTAATCTAGACAAAAATAGTAACTACTATTACCTCACATCCACCTCCCACCTTTCGGCAGGGGGTAGGGAGAGAGATTTTTTAACAGTCCAACAAAATCAGAAACTAGCACGGGACACGCCCCGACTTAGTATCCAAACGTTCACAAAAAGTCAAAAATCTGGACCACAA